AATTGTGCCCATCTGCATCGTCTGAATTGATTAAAACCTGTAAAAGAAGCTGAAAATGTACAGAATCCAGCATCCACTTCTTACCAAAGCTCGTCTCTTCAGGACTTAAACAAAAGGATACAGTGCCCTATGGGGCTAGGGGGAAAGGGGGAGTCTCATGAACTCAGACAATAATTCAAACTTAAAAGAGAAAGAACAATGAACTTGCTGAAACTTTTTATTATATACATGTTTCATTAATTTCAGGAAAGGTCAAAAATCAACAACTTATACATTTTCCATTTAACCGATGCGTAACTAAATGTCGAATATATCCTCTATGTTTACATTGCTTTCCTTGGCATGAGCATTTTGGGAGGGGCCAGAGACCTTAATTCAGGTGCAGAACTAGGAAAAAGAGTGTTCAGCTTGTGCATGAGGATGTCGGACCTTGACAGAATCTCATTCAGAAGAAACTGTTGAACAATGGGTTTCTTAAACCACTCCATGACAGCATCTCCTGGAGCCCTCAGCACCACTTTGCTAACCTCGAATGGAGATTCCACCGAGTTCAAGCAACCACAATCTTCAAAGTCGGTCCTGTGACCAATTTAATGCGCCATGGGATGACACCATAATATAACATTCATTTTCTGAACCTATGGAGAGTATGCACAACTGCTATCAGAGCAGCTCCAACTGATAAGTTCCTGACATCCAGGGACCAAGCAATTTGCTGATCAAATAATATTGCCTTTGGGAAAAGCTTATTCTCATAGGCAACTTTCCAAACACACCGGGCTCGATTTATCTGCCCCATAAGAACAAGGTAGTTGAGGAGAACGTTAACAAAGTACTTAGCAGGCCCCTCTTCCAACTCATAATCGATACCTTGAAAAAATTCCCTCACAAAAGATAACACTGGTTGTTCCCTCTGTTCGGGGCCCGTGAAGAGTCCACACATAAAAGCATGTGCCTTATGTCTTGTAGCACCAAGTATTGACATCAAATACCTCTCATGCTCTTCTTCCTGGCATCTTACGAGATAGGGTAGAATGGATGTGTAAAGCATGAGGTCGACTTTTGCAGCAGAATTCACATACGTTTCTAAGAGAGGCTTTGCTGACTCATACAAACCACTCTTCATACATGACTCGAACAACTGTCTGATTATAAAATTATTTGTTCTAATCGCTGATGAGCCCATGAAGCGCAACCACCCCAAGGCTACATCAACAGAACCCTCCTTGATATACACCATCAAAGCATCGCTAGCGCTCACATCAACAGAATAACCCATGGCCTTCATCTCACGCAAAATCTTGGTAGCCATGTCCACAAGCTTCTTATTAGCGAAAAGCATCAAAAGAGATGTGTAAGTACTTAGACCTGGTCTTGAACCTGCATTGGTCATTGAGTTATACAGCTTCATAGTAGAATCTACTTGTCCAGAGGCAGCATGCATTTCCAATAGACACGAATATGTCGAAGGAGTGGGTAGAAATCCAGCCTTCTCCATATCAGTAAAGGTAGACATTGCAGTATCAAGTTTCCCTGATTTTGCATGGGACTCAACAATCATTGTGTACAACCCAAAGTTAGGCTTAAAGCCCGCTTTCTTCATCTCATCCCAAAGCCTAAGGGCAGCATCTAATTTGCCAGCCTTTACATATGACTCAATCATAGAAACGTACATGGGAGCGGATGGCCTGAAACCATAGCCCTGCATTTCCATGTATAACTTCATCGACGTGTCCAACTGCCCAGCTTTTCCCATTGAATCAACAAGTGATGCAAAGACATTAAGGCTGGGTTTAAAGTTCCTTTCTTTCATTTCTTGGAAGAGCTTAAATGCAGCATCAAGGCGGCCCGATTTCGCCAAGTTTGGTACCATCAACTCATAGGTTGATCCATCTAATGAACAGCTTGCAGCTTGCATGCTCTCATATATCTCAAATGCCTTATAAGGTAAACCCTTATTTAGAAACAGCAATATAAGCGAATTATATGTCTGAGTATCAACTTCAAAACCCGAATCTTGAATCTTCTTAAAGCAACAAAATGCCACCTCCATTTTATCTGCTTTAGCCAAGAATTGAATGACGTGATTATATGCACCAGATGACAAAACCCCACTACTACCTGAATTCTGCACCATTTCATCAAACAAGGATTGGATTCCATCGAAGTCCTTACTTTGGTTTAGGCCATCAAACAACACCACATAACACTCATCACTGGGAAAATACCACGGCTGCCTCTTAGCCCATCGAAACAAACTCAAAGCACCATCGCCATCCTTAATAACCTTCAAGGCTTGAGTAATGTGAGTCATGTTTGGCACAAATTGGAGTTTGTCTAATTGGGTCTCCAATTCAGGCCCCCATTTCCACCTCTTCACAACCTCAACAATCTTAGCAATGGCAGAGGCATTCAACATCGGCTTTTTCAGCCCGCCTACCATCACATGGTCATCGAGCCCTGGCTCGACCGACCGTATACCTTTCCCGGTGTAAATAACACTCCCTGATTCATCCAAATACTCAATTTCCTCAGTCCACTCATCACTCTTCTTCCTAGAACAGTATTATCTGATCAAACGGCCTAATGATACCGGGGTTTCAACCAAATTCGTATCCGAAACACCAGAGCCCCCCACAAAATTGGGTTTTGCTGGTACAGAAAAATTATGAGAAATTGAATTGAAACCCGTTATAGAGCTCCATAACCTGAATCTTCCTCCATAACTATGAAGTTCATTTGCACATAAATTTGGGTACATTGAAAGGAAACAACGAAATGCAGAGCTGACGGTAGGGTTTTTGGTGAGTCTACAAATATTTATAGGGCAAAGCTTCCTCCTACAAAACATTGAGTTCTTTGGTATACAGAACTATGATGTGGGGATAAAATTAGGGTTTATGGTGGTTGAATGTGTCACCTGATTGTTGGAAAGATGCCATCTTTACAGCAGAGCTTAAACCCTAGCTTTCAATGGGCACCTGCAGCAGACTGAAGTGTCAACGGTTGACCGTACTGTGCTGCAAATACCTGAAAGAAAGCTTCCCTTTTTAATTGCACTTTGCGCCCCGTGATTTGGGATGGTTAATAATTTGGTCCGTATTTTTTCAAACTGACAATATCAACCCTAAATTGTCAAAATATTACACTATTGGTCCCTCTGTATAACTACTATCCTTTGATTAGGAAATGTGTGAAATTGGTTATTTACATCAACGTTGGGTTGATGTGGCGTGGCCGCTTGGGACATTTTTCATCATTTTATAGAGTGTTTGAGAAAGAAAAAAAATTCTTATTTATTCTCTCTAAGATATGTGTAATTTCACTTAATGTAAAGTCTAAATAAATAAAAATGAGTTTAACGTGTCATGTAAAAAAATAACAAATTTACTTGACAATTAAACAGATCAAAAGGACAATAGTCTAACACATTGTAACTTTAAAATGGTACAATGATTTATATTAAAATTGTATAAGGATATAATGATTTATAAAGATCATGTTTGCCACCACAAGACTCATGCCTTCTGCAATTTGATTACAAGAGTTTACAGATAGGTTATGATACGAAGAACGCTCACAACAATTTGAGTTACAAGTTAATGATTGATTAGTTAAACTTTTGAATTTCGTACGAGGTCGGAAGCAAAACAGGATAAAAGAACATAGAGAGGAGTTTTGATTCTAAAATCCCACGACTCTGATGAGACTGCCTTTGGTGAATGGTGCATGTTTTCAAATATGGCATTGCCTTCATTTCTTAATTCGTCAGATTAAAGCACTAATCAGCCTTCAAATAGATTGAGGAGTATTAATCCTTGGTGGGGACATGGTGATTAGGATAACCCATTGAAGCAATTTGTGTTAAAGGCATTGTACATTTCGTAATCAAACCTGCAAATGTACTTTTAACCAAACATGTAAAAGATCATTTGAACAAAGCAAATCCAAGCCGGTAAGCCATCAGAACAAAAGTGATTGTAACAAGCATTCTTTTGATGCAAAGTGATATTGGGCGGCGCGCGTCCGGGGAGGGGGTGGGACATCGAATACAGAGTAAACACTTTTAATCACTTAAACTATAAAATCTCCTACTGTATAACTAGTGGTGGAGTGGAGCCACCTTGAGGCCAAGGTGAGCTCGGGCCTATGTTGAAGTTGCTTTTTCCTGTAATCCTCTACTACCATTAATCAATTTTACCACTATTGACTTGAATTTGTAATTGTGCGTGTTAGTCAAATTAACTTCAATCCAACAAATACAAAGCCTTTAATTTTTTACATCAAAGATTTGAAACTATAGAGCTATAATTGATCATATTATCTGTTTCTTGCCTATATACAATTTTTCCCCTTCGCTTGCTGACTATTATTTTTTGATTTATTTCTCATCTTCTTCTATTATATCATCTAAGAAATCAAAAAGAGAGAAAAAGATTTCATGTGTCCAAATTAGCATAAAAACCCTTCAAATTCTCTCATTCCTAATGTTTTTACAAAAATGTTCTCTTGGTCTCCATGAGAAAATGAGTGTCTGATCACTCACCATTGTGTTCGGTATAAAGAATGAAGAATAAATGGACTTGATATAGTTGACCATGTATAATGAATAATAAATGCATGTATGGTTACTCACTTTTGAATTTAATATCAAGGTAACCAGAACGAACGAGACAACTACTTTTATTTATATTATGTCCACCTTGGTATAAAGTGTCCCTCCTAACATGAACTTCTAACTCTACCGCTTCCCCCTAGTATGAATTTCTGACTCTGCAACTTCGTGTAACAAACAACTAATTTTTCATTTGAATAATGCATATCCACCTTGTCTCTTGGTTTGGTTTCCCCCCCACTTGGAAAGAGAATTGAGAGGGGAGAGAGAGAGAGAGAGAGAGAGAGAGAGAGAGAGAGAGAGAGAGAAAGCGCTTTGAGTAGAAAGGAAGCAACAGAAAAGGGCAGAGAAAATCACACTTTGATTTTTCTCAGATCAAGCAAGCATATATTCCAGTTCAGCTGCGTGCAAAAACAATATTAGTGTGGAGGCAAAAGAGATGTTATACATGCAGAATAATTCATCTTCCTATAACATACACCTTCTCCTTGAACCCTTTTTGTATTCCTTCAAACACAGACATCTGAGCAAAGTGAATGAAAGTTGGACTGCTAAAGAATCAATCTTTATGGCCACCCGAGCTAACTAACCACTTGTCTACATTTGCCCTTTCTTGTGGGCAATTCTGGCGAGGTGAGGTCCAAGGCTGCTGCTTAAATATGCAAATGCTTCCTTCTGCATGTCTTGCTGCTTCTGGTTTTTGAGTTTTTTGTGGGAACTGTAGCAAAAGCAGAAGAGGAGAAGAAGAAGCTTAAATTGGAGTTTTGGGTTCTGTTGCAAGTCATGGAAACAAGTAGAAATAACACAAGAGTTTGCATTGTTTTTCTGTATTTAACTTTGGCAACTATTTCCTTCACTCAATGCGGTAAGCTTCTTCCTTGATTAGATCATTTTAGTACTTAACCACATTATATATACAGTGCTTAACCTCAAGCTGAGGGTAGATTCCTAGGGATGACCAGTGATATATCCCCTTTTAATTACTATATTTCTCGTTAGGTGACTAAAGTCACGTGATGAGAGATACAGTAAGAGATGATCGAATAACATCTCGATACAACTATGAGACGGTTAATTTTATTTGTTGACAAGTAATCCATATGTTTTGGTAGAGGCAAGAAGATCAATGAGATTGCTAAAAGCTAGTCTTCCAAGTCCAACACAGCACCAAAGTCTGCTTCTCAGAGCTGCAAACAAATTGAACTTAATCAACCGCATTGATTTTCCATTGGAGGGATCAAAAGACATCCAACCATATGCTGTGGATTCACCATTCACATTGCCACCTTATGATTCTTTACCTCCAATTTCCATGCCTGAAAATGCACCTCCGTACTGTACAACTCCACCCAATACCCCACAAACTCCCTCTACAACCGTCCCAACGCCTATTGTGTTATCACCACCAACTCTCTCATCACCCTTCGTTTACATTCCCCCAACCCTTCCTCTCCAAAGTCCACCTCCAAGCCCAACAAGCATTGTCCCAGGTCCACCACAATCTATCTCCACCCCTAATCCACCGGAAACCGTCCCAAGCCCAACGGGCTTTGTACCCGGCACACCACAATCCATCCCCACTCCCAACCCGCCCGAAAGCATCCCAAGCCCGCCCGAAAGCTTTCCAAGCCCACCGGGCTTTATACCTAGTCCCACTATCTACATCCCAAGCCCACCTTATTTCGAGCCAAGCCCGCCTTCTTCGGTTCCATCTCCTTTTGGGTTTCAACCAAGCCCGCCGGTGTTCCTACCTCCCATTGTGTTCCCTCCGCCCACTACTCCGCCGATTCCAAGACGAGGCCCGACGGCGGCCCTGTGGTGCGTGGCTAAGCCATCTGTGCCCGACCCCATCATCCAAGAAGCTATGAATTATGCATGTGGGTCGGGAGCGGACTGCGCTTCCATCCAACCCAATGGGTCATGCTTCATGCCCGACACATTGTTTGCCCATGCTTCCTATGCCTTCAACAGTTACTGGCAAAGGACTAAGGTTGCTGGTGGCACTTGTTCTTTTGGAGGAACTGCCATGCTAGTTACTGTTGATCCAAGTAAGAGAGTACATATTTCAATAATTCTTGTTTAATCCCAATACTTTTTCATATATCATTTTACTTTATATAAAAAACTGATCCATTATTTTGGTGACGTCTTTACAGGTTATGATGGATGTCAATTTGTTTATTATTAATATCAAAATAGACTCGATCACAATGACAACGCATATCTTTTTTTCTTTCTTTTTCTTTTTCTTTTCAACTTTTCTATAAGAAAAGTACAAAATCTCAGAGTATATAACCCTCATTTGAACAAGAATTTTGTAAGTACAATGTAGAGATAACTTCTTGTTCAATCATGAATACAAACTTCAATAATTTCTCATGTTATAAATTGTATTTTTTTCATATTTTGTGCAAACTTTGTTAGGTTCAAAGCCAATGACTCAACTGATCATGACAAATGTGCTTTTGTTAGTGCTAAACAGCTGCAATCCACTTTTTAATTAACATGGATTATATCCTAAGATTTGGAAACATCTTTTAGTATTATGTTAATCTTCTAATGTGGTTGATCTACTAGGATATGACTCCCTATATGTTTGGAATTGTATAATCCTTTATCCATATCTATGGCCACCACTTAATAAAAAGAAAAACTTCAACCAATAAAATTTGACATAGTGAAACCAAAACAAGTAATTAAGATAAAGTTGGGTTAGCAACATATTTATAAATCACATCTTATGAGTTCTTAATGTAAAGTTTAAAACTTTTCACGATAAAAATGATGTTTGGCGTGCAAATTGTTTGACTTCAGTTGATTTAATGCATAATTCTATCATTGAAGCATTTTGTCGAATACTTAATAAGTCTATTGATATCTAACGAAACTTGTTAGACATAATTTGTCGATCCCTACCTACATTTGCCGATCAGATATTTTATCAAACGCTTGATGATCACCACCGGGCCTTGTACTCATTGAATATCTTTACAGAACTTGTTTGTGTCTTATAAGTATCAAACTAAATTTAGTTAAGAACTCAACAAAAACTGATAAAAACCAGAAAAAATAAGAGGAGAAAAGAGAGAAACAGAAAGAAGCAACACGGCTAGGTGTCACGCACCTGCCCACACCCAACCAATTTATTTGGATGTTTCCCTCCATATTAGCAGCCCGACTCACCGGCAGAAGTCCACTACTCCGCTTCCTTCCCAAACACCGAAGCAAGCAAAACATCTCACGCAAAAACCCTGAACCCGCGCCTCCCTCCCAACCATTTCTCTTTCTCTAGGCGGCGCCGCCACCGTCAACGCCCACTACAGCCACCGTAATGTCGGCCTCAATCGTCGAAGACGGCTTCTCCTCCGACCGGCTCTTCAACCAGGGCTACTCCTACACATACGATGACGTCATCTTCCTCCCTCACTACATCGACTTCCCCACCGACTCCGTCCATCTAGCCTCCAACCTCAGCCGCCGCATCCCTCTCTCGATTCCCTGCGTCTCGTCCCCGATGGACACCGTCACCGAGTCCCACATGGCCATTCTGATGGCCGCACTCGGCGGCATAGGCATCATCCACTCCAACTTGACGTCGTCCGAGCAAGCCCACATGGTCCGGTCCGTCAAGTCCCGCCGGGTCCCGCTTCTTTCGAACCCCGTCTTCAAGTCCCCAAGCGATCGAATCCAATCTGACGACGTTTTTGACGCTTCCAATCCCTACGTCCTGGTTACTGAGAGTGGCAGCCCCAATTCGAAGCTTTTGGGGTACGTGGCGTGCAAGGATTGGGTGAAATTGGGGGACAAGGAGGTGAAGATTTACGATTACATGGTGAACTGTACGGTCTTCACGGTGCCGTGGAGTTACGATTTGGGGGCTATTGGGGAGTACATGGAGGAGAAAAAACGAGATGTGGTGGCGACTGTGAGGGAAAATGAGGTGGTGGATGTGGTGGCGAGGATTAAAGGGTACCCCAAATTGGGGGTTGGGACGGTGGGTCCCTACGGGACGTGGCGGGTTGGGGCGGCGATCGGGATGAGGGAGTCGGATAAGGAGAGGTTGGAGGAGTTGGTGAAGGCAGGGGTGGATGTAGTGGTGTTGGGTAGCTCTCAGGGGAACTCCATTTATCAGATTGAGATGATAAAGTATGTGAAGAAAATGTACTCGAATTTGGATGTAGTTGGCGGGAATGTGGTGACGGTGAGTCAGGCGCAGAATTTGATTCAGGCTGGTGTTGACGGGTTGAGGGTTGGCATGGGGTCTGGCTCAATTTGTACCACTCAAGAGGTCTGCGCTGTTGGTCGCGGACAGGTATAAAGATGCCTTCTTTTTGTTAGTTGTTGCTTTTGTGATTGATGCTTTAGTTTGTGTTCTTATTGTTGGTGGCTAATTTAAGGATTTGTAGAATCTGGAGGTGTTGAAAGTTATGATATTTGTAGTGATCGGTTAAACACCTTGAATTTTATGTGGATGAAAAATATTTGATGAAGGATTTGTTGATCAATGACATTGTGCCTAACAATCGTTGTTTTTTATGGGTGTTTTACTATTTGATACTCTGGAACATAGGGCATAGAGAACAAAGGTTCGACTTTAGCTTCTGGCAGTGGCAGCCCTTTGATGGGCTAAAACAGTGTAGTTTGTGGCGTGAAAAGATATATAATTACGTTTTGGAACTTGTTGAAGACTTTGTTTGACGTTTTGTTCTATGGGTTGCTGGGTGCTATACCATTTTATGACCAAAGTTGTTTTGGTTTTGGTGCTATGTTTCAGGCAACTGCTGTTTACAAGGTTGCGTCTATTGCTTCGCAAAGTGGTGTGCCTGTGATTGCTGATGGTGGAATTTCCAATTCTGGACACATTGTCAAGGCTTTGGTCCTTGGGGCTTCTATTGTCATGATGGGAAGCTTCTTAGCTGGAAGCACTGAGAGGCTCCTGGGGTTTTTGTGTATCAGGTATGTCTTGGACTTACTCATGTTTTTATTGCTGGACCGGTATACTGCTCATACCATCAGATATTAAATCTACTTGAACATTTCATTCTCGTTTGTTTGAGTGTTTACTACATGTCTTTTCTAGTTCTTTGACAACTTTTTGAGCGGTTTAAGGAGTTTATTAGGCAGATTTATGAATACTGAATTGCAGCTGTGATTGGTAAAGAAACCTACCTAGAAGATATGTGTTTCTAAGTTTGTTAGACATCCTGAGTTATTTCTCATCCTTTTTGGACTGCATTAATATTGTTCGACGGATCAGTCATTGATGTGTTATGGTTTGCTATCAATCTTTAATGCTTTTACATCATTAGGAATGCCATTGGTATGTTTGCATGGACTCTCTCCCTGAGACCTGAACTTTATCAGTTTGAAGCCTAAATACGGTAAGGGGTTTTGGACTCCTTTGATTAACCCAAGTGGTGAAAGTAAGTGGCAAAATGGGTTAGGATTAGGCTAGATATGGGTCCGGTTCCCTGAAATTGTGATTGGGTTTTTTCATGGATGCATGTCAAAGCTAAACTTACGGGGAAGTGTATTGGACGTAGTATTTAATTTCTGTGTCATTGTTTATTTATTTATTTATTTATGGTAATTATCTAATTAACCAATTGATTAATTTTTTAGTTTTGAACAGAGGCTCCCGGGGTTTTTGTGTATCAGGTATGTCTGGGACTTACTTATGTTTATATTACTGGAACAGTTATACTGCTCATACCATCAGCTATTAAATCTACTTGAACATTTCTTCTCGTTTGTACGAGTGTATACTACATTTGTCTTTTCTAGTTCTTTGACAACTTTTTGAGTGGTTTAAGGAGTTTATTAGGCTGATTTATGAATACTGAATTGCAGCTGTGATTGGTAAAGAAACTTATCTTGAAGATATGTTTTTCTTTGTATGTTAGACATCCTGAGTTATTTCTCATCCTTTTTGGACTGCATCAATATCGTTCGACGGATCAGTCATTGATGTGTTATGGTTTGCCATCAATCTTTAATGCTTTTACATCATTGGGAATGCCATTGGTATGGTTGCATGGATTCTCTCCCTGATGACCTGAACTTAATCAGTTTGAAGCCTACATACAGTAAGGGGTTTTGGACTCCTTCGGGTTAACCCAAGTGGTGACAGTAAGTGGCAAAAGGGGTTAGGATTAGGCTAGATACGGGTCTGGTTCCCTGAAATTGTGATTGGGTTTTTTCATGGATGCATGTCAAAGCTAAATTTATGGGGAAGTGTATTGGACATAGTATTTAATTTCTGTGTCTCTTATTTATTTATTTATTTATTTATTTTATGGTAATTATCTAATTAAGCAATTGATTAATTTTTTAGTTTGAACAGAGGGTCTTTGCTAATCTAACCTATGACCCAAATTATGTGTATCTTCCTTTATTTCTGAATTAAAAGCAAAAATTGTCTACATAAATTGCACTGGATTTACAGTATACTTGTCTTTTATAAGCAACATGCTGTTTGTTATTTCTTTGTCGTTGTTAATTAGCTTTCTGCATGCTTAACCTCTATTAAGGAAACGGTTTGATATAAGTGATTTCATTTTTTCCATTAGAATGGTCGCCGAGTAAAAAAAATATCGATGCATGGGGTCTCTTGAAGCAATGACAAAAGGGAGTGATCAGAGGTACTTGGGCGATACAGCTAAGCTGAAAATTGCACACGGGGTTGTTGGGGCAGTTGCAGACAAAGGTTCTGTTTTGAAGTTCATACCATATACAATGCAAGCTGTGAAACAAGGTTTCCAAGATCTTGGTGCTTCTTCATTGCAGTCTGCTCATGACCTCTTAAAATCAAGTGTTTTAAGGCTAGAGGTAAGTAGACCATTTTGCAGACGTTGTTGTGTTACCTCGTATCATTGTTATTAAGGCTGTCAATTTAGTTCTATGCTTTAAATGAGAATTGATATTGTAGCCAATGTTTCTTTCGATAACTTACTCTTTCGTAGTCTGTTGAATAGCATGTTGTATTCTTGTTCAACACTCTTAGGTTAAACTACCAAAAGGAGTGGGGAAGAAACCTATCAATCTAGAGTACTGCCATTGTGTGTCACTCATATTCAGACACTTATTTACTTACAGAGAAGAAATCTGTAACCTCTCAGGGTTTTCCCTGACCCCGCTTACTTCTTTAGATAGTTTTCCATCCCCATATATTACCTCAAGGAAAAGTGCACTCCACGATTACCTTGTTATAGCTCAAGGAATCTGAGATGTAATGATGGTCATATCAAGAACTAATATGGTTTCTCAATTAGTTGACAATGTATTCCACTATGCAGGTAAGAACAGGAGCAGCACAAGTAGATGGTGGCGTTCATGGCGTGGTTTCTTATGAGAATAAATCGTTTTGATGGTTGTATCTTTTCAGCTTTTCTCATTCCTGCTGGTGACTGCTGTCTCGGGGAATTGGGAACTCTTCCGTGTTCCATACTGCATCTGATATCGCCAGTTTAGCATGAGTAACAAGGGCGAGCCTGTCAAACTGCCACCGGGTATTTCTGAGCAGCGAAAGTTTTGGTCTCAAACGGTTCTCTGGCATTTTGTTGGTTGCCACGAGAGCTTCCATCTGCCAGCATTTTTTTTTTTTTTTTTTTTTGAAAACTACTTCCTGCATTTGTTTCACTCTGCACTTTAAATGTGACATATGACTAGTTAGACTTTGTCTGAGTTATGTTACTAGTTTTCATTACGAATTATTATTAAATAATGCGGTTTCAATTGTTCACCACATGGTTGTTTTTTTTTAAATGTTTGTAGGCACATGACCAAAAAGAAAACGGAGAGAGAAGCAAAGACAACCGCGGAATATTTGATGTTACAACTAGGGGTGGAATAAAATACCAAAAAAACCAAACCTACCGAAATCGAACTGAATCGAATAGACAATACCAAAAATTTGGTACCTGAAGCTGAACCGAAATTGAAAAATTCGGTAAGAGATTTGGCATGAAACTTGGATTAGTTCGATAAGACCAAACCGAACCTTGGAATATTAATTTTTTGTAGTCTATTGGATTTGGTTGAGATTTATCTTCACCGTTGACGCAAAACCAACCCTTCTCGACCCCACTTCCACCCCCCACCCCCCCTCCCCACGCAGGGGTTTTGGTGAGGGCTTTTCTTTCTGTAAGAGAGTTTCTCTCCAGAGTGTGACTGTTTTCTTTAGTTTTCAAGCTTGGTTCTTCCGTTCTTTCTCACTTTTGCTGCCACTGATCCTAGTTGTGGCTTGGGTTGGTGGCAGCCCCAATCCCTCCTCCTTTTTCCTTTGGCCTGTCTCTTATGTCCCTTCCGGATAGCTTGTATTTCTGACTTGGATCCCTGTGTAGATCTATCCGATCTTTCGGTTTCAACTCTTGTTCTTAGTCATGTTCTCGATACCCAGTTCAAAAGTGAAATTTTCTATGGTGAAGTTTCAATTATGTTTGGGTCTTCGTACCACCACTTTTCCGCCGTAATTGTTTTGATGGGATTGTTCTCCTCAGTGGAGTTTATCTAGATGACTCGGATTGTGCGCAAATTGGGGCAATTTTGGCAACCTTGGGGATGGATGATTGATTTTCATGGGGTTCCCGCAGCTGCTGTGTATGGTATTCCAATTAAGGGTTTTTTGTTTCTTTTAGCTTGTTGTGTTAGGGTTTGTATGGGGTGGGGCTTATCACTTTTGTTTGCGTCTTTGAAGGAGGGATTTGTATATATTTTAGTTCTTTGAATGAACTTTACTTTACCAAAAAAAAAAAAAAAAAAAACCAACCCAATTTCCCACTCCGACCACCTACACATCACAGTGACCGCCACAACTATCTTTCTCTCGTTCGAAACTCCTCTCTAATCTCTCGATTCGTTTCTTTACCTCGACTCTCCTTTCTTCAGTTCTTCTATTCTTCCTCAACATAGTAACCCGATTTTTGTCTTTCTCTCTCTCTCTCTCTCTCGACTCGGCCCACCTGAGCCCCAACCATATGATCTCGACTCTGGCCCCGCCCACCCGTTCTTGACCTTTCTCTGTGTTTCACCTCCGTTGACTCTCTCTCTTGGTCGATCTTGACTCCGACCATGTCACACCCACAACACTACACGTCTCTCTTTCTCGACTCTTCTCTGACTCTCTATTTATCAAGTCACTCAAGTTAAGAAATTTTCCTTTAATTCTTCATATTTAAATTAGGATTTTGATTTGGGGTTCTGAAATGGGGATTAGAGTGTCAATTTGGGTTTCGAATTTTGATTTGACATTAGGGGATTGTTGAGGTTAGTCCTTTCGTGTAATGGTTGAGGGGATTGTTGAGGTATGTACTGTAATGGTGTACTAATGCAATTGCAGCAATTTGTTTCCTTTCTATACGAATTTTTAAATTGATGTGATCATTGTAAGATACAAACTTTTTCATTAAATTGATGCAATTATAATAATCGGAAGGTCACTTAGTATTACAATCTAATGGTATACCTTTTTACTTGTAAGTGTGAGGTCTTAGGTTCAATGCTTGCTAGAGGTGAATTTGAACCACATTATTGCTAGTCCATAGTGATGCTAAGTCCACCCCTCTTCCCTTTAGTGTAGATAATATTGTTTGTTAAAAAAAAAAAAAAACCCTAGAAGTGTTTTTGCTCAGTGAATGGAGAGGAATAGAGCATAGCTTAACATTTGGGCCTGAAAAATTTTGGGAAAATTTGTGTTTTGTTGGGCTTAAAATCAGAAGCCCAAAAAATTTGACCTGAAGGCCCATTCTTGAGCTCGAACTGAAAAGCCGAACTATTTTGGTATTACCAAATTTCGAGAAAGCTAAAATATTGGTTTGGTTTCAGTTTTTCGTCCTCTTTTCCTGAACAATAACGATTCAGTTTTTGTACTAACCATTTCGATTCGCTATCTCAAACCAAACCACCCCTAATTACAAGTAGTATATTTTTGCACTGTTGTTTTCTCTTTATTGATTTGATTTATTAAATATATAAAAGACTATAAAAAAGAGGAGTATGTGGAAGATAAAAGTTAATGCAGAAATCACATCTTAATCATTAGTCTACTACACTTGCAAGTGTATTCTCTATAAGTGACAGATGCACGACTTAGAATTAGTACTTGATATTAATCTTTGAACTTTCTAAGTTAGGAGAAATTTTTTTGAGTATCCGATATTCTAGCAAGTTCGTCAGGTGTTATAAAATAAGAAGAATGACACAAAAAAATATATCATTTGCATCACTTTTATTATGACATGCAGAGTATTGCTTAAATCATACTTAACAAAGGATAATGCTAGAAAGACCTAATTTTTAAACCAAAATTTGCAAATCAAATGATGTCACTAATAGAAAATAAGTATGTTAATCAACACTTAAATAATAATTGCCACTTAGTACTACGGTTTAGTGGTATTCCTCTTTACTAGTAAGTGAGAGGTCTTAGATTTAATTATTGCCAAAGGTGAATTTGAACCACATTATTGCTAGCCCATTGTGAGACTTAGCCCACTCTCCCATTCCTTAGTATATATAATATCGTTTGTAAAAATAACATTTAAGTATAATCAAATCATTCACCATCACATCATTTGATTTAAAATTTTAACCTCCCTAACATCATCTCTAAATAAAAATCTCTCTCTAGGTAGGATAATCCTCACATCCTCACAATGTGAGGATCATACATAAGAGCAAGTCCACCATGTGCTCTAGCCCGAGGGACAGGCACAGGAACAGGGCCATGTAGCCCGAGTGATGAAGCGTAGCGTATGCTGGTGAGCGAGAGGCCTGGCGATTTGTGCTGGCCCACGCGCCCGAAGGCAATGTGATATGGGCCGACTTCAGGACGACTTCAGCCACAATATAAAATTAATAAAAATATTAAATATTAATAAAAAATTTTAAAAATGTAAAACCTGGAAGGCTTCGAACTCAACGGCTCTCGCCTGAATTTGTCACCAAGGCTGATGATACACCCACAGATAAATGGGAGAGATCCAGTCCCTCATCCGCTGCAATTGCAGCCGCACCCCACACCGCCTTCGCCTCCATGCACTTGCAATCCCCCTCCTTCCACTCGCGCGCCCAGATCACACGATTTGGGGTTTGTTTTTGAGAGAGAGAGAGAGAGAGATTTTAACTAAGGAGTTGGCGATCCTTTACCCACGGATCGGCTATTGATGTTGTCAGAGTCTAAGGCCCTACCTCCGGAGCTCAAGTGAGAGAGAGCTATTGAGCTTGAAAAAGAAAGAAAAAAAAAACACACACACAGCTTTTGGAATGATGCGTTGGCACCATGTGAAAAGAAGAAAAAAATGGTTTTGGTACGGTGCATCGCATCATGTGAAAAAAACAAAGGTTTTCGAATGGTATGGTGCACCATGTGAAAAGAAAAAATTAAAAAAATAAAAATAAATTTTTTGATAAAAAGTGATAGAATGAGACCGATTAAAAATTTTATCCGAAATTATTAATAAATTATTTTGTATTATTTTTTTAAAAAATACTAATATTTTATTACCTATTGCCATGATTATTCAATGTAAGTGTGGAGATACAAAAGATATTTATTGTTTATTAATAACAATTACGATTCACTAAGTGAATTAAATAGTGAATAACCCGAAACTTTACCAACGGTGGAACTACTCTTAGTCATGAGTTAGATGGGGGTTGGAAGATTCAAAGTATGACATTGACAGGCTGCTGTTTTCTAGTCCAATATGCAGACTTTAGTTTTGTTTTCTTCCCATGCTTTAATTCGATAGGACGTGTGGACATTGGAAACCTCAGCCATAATAACAAGAAGAAATTTCCACAATTCATTAACTCGTGATTTTGACTGTGAAATTGTGTGGTCGTTTGGATGTAAATTTGAGTGGGACGTTTATGGATGAAACCCAAGTTTTTGGTCCAAATTATCTCCAAAGCGGGCTTGCAGGTCAGAAGAAACATAATAGAAAGATTCAGTGCGGGCAGGCTCATAGCAAGCCCTGTTTTTACTGCTGAGATGCACGAGCCGTTGTCACCGTTGGATGTCGCACCTCCTGAATTATGAACCAGTGATGCATACTCAGCTACATTTTTTTTAAAGAAAAACTAATGAAAAAGGTTTGAAAACTTTGAGTTTTAACGATAAGGACAAAATAAAGGGTAAAATGAATAATATCAAGATTGAATTTTTAGTGTAAAATGTGGTTTTTCGTTAAAGTGAACAGTACTAAGAGCTTTTTGTTAAAATTCCATTTTTTTAATCTAATGGCTCAATCAAATTTATTCAATTTTAACGGTGATAAAAAAGGATCAAACAGCTCACATTTAAATCTAACAATCAAAATAATATTACTAATTAGTCCAAATCAGATTCAACACCAAAACTTCTCCAAAACTCTATAAAAACATGTCAATTTTTCACTTATCCATAAAAAACTAAATAATATAAATAATTTTTTTTACATCAAAATGTTCGTAAAAAAAAATAAATAAAACAAAGATTACACAAAAGCAAATTCCAAAATTGCTAGCCAAAAAAAAAAAAAAAAAAGGAAAAAAAGAAAAGAAAGAAATATAAAAATTTAACAAATTATAAAGTTGAGCATGGAAAGCTCATAAAATGATAAGGGATAAAACCCTTGACTTGGGTAGTTCTAGGTCAACAACTACTTGTACTAAAAAAACAAAGCGTTTAGACATCGCATTCTATATAATAAGTAGTTATATGGGAACGAAGGAGCCAAACTTGTGTCTCGAGCTGATACAGTATGGTTCACAAGGCCAACGTTGTTTGCATGATTTCCATCACTCTATTGCTATTGTTCTCATCCAAATTAGTCTTTGACAAAGTTTCTGAAAATCCAAAGCACGGTAGTTACTCTCTCTCTCTCTCTCTCTCTCATACAATAAATTGTTGTTTGATTAGCATCTATATATGATTCGTAAGTTGTTAACTAGTTAATAATGAAAGTTCATTAGTCATTGCAGATGTAGCAGAAAAGATCATCAGCCGGTCGCATGTGCATATTGTGAGAAAGATTCCCGTACCAAATCCTTATAATCATGGGCCAGTGCCAAGACATAGAACAAAAAATTAGGGGTGTGCATTAAACCGATCGAACCATATGTAAGTTGGTTTACTTGATGAAGTTTTTATGTTCCGATAAAAATTTTTTTTTGATAGAATTGAAACGTGGGAGAAGAGTAGATGTTTTGAAATATATAACTTTTCAAATGTTGCTTTTTTTGTTGATGTGTTGGAAAATGGTTAAACCAGCTCAATCCAAATTTCATTTTCACCTAATCCTTTTGAATTTTTCTTCCTTGTTTTGCAGTTTGTGTTGCAGGTTCTTACCTTTTAAATTTTATTTTAGAGGGATTTGGTCCTATGTCCGCCCCTCTCTTTTTCTTGTATTTTCTTTTTCAAAAGAGATAAGGTGTATATCCTTTCCTCTTTTCTTGTATTTTGTTGTTCTTACTTTATGATGAATAAGGTTTATGTCCCTCCTTGGCTAGGTATAATTTTTTTTTTCTTTCTCATCTCAATAAATTTCTCTTGTAACGCCAAGTTTTCCAAAAAAACGTCTATTTTTTTTTCGATGAATTGGAGTGGATTTGAGTCAAATATAATTCATGACTCCAAACTTCTGATTCCGCAACTAAGTTTTAATATATCTAAGCAGCACCATAATGTATAAGCTATGGGAATGCGGCCTTATTATATCTGAACTAGGTAAACATGTTGCATGTGAAATTAGAAGCCAAAAATGAGGGTGAAGGAGAAGATAACAACTTGTAGGTCATGGTGTATCTACACCATATAAGTTGTCCTTCACTCCTTAAACATGAGTTATTGACAAAGTTATTAATTTACGTTGGACATTGGAGATCAAAACCTCATAATAAATTTCTTTTTGAATCTGTATCATAACAAACATGTGATTTGACATTTTTTCATCACGAATAGCAATATTTATTAACTTTTTTTTTTTAATTTTATAGAAAACCTTGATGGCACAAGGAGAATTTTATTGATATAAAAAAAGAGTAAACCTAGTTAGGGGAGACATAAATCTAATCCCTCATAATACAAGAAAAAAGGATAAAGAAAATACATGAAAAGAAGGGAGGACATAAATCTTATCATTCTAGAAACAAAAACAACAAAAACACAACGAAAATAAGGGGGGGGGACATGAAATCTAACCCTTCTAAAGACGAACCTAAAGTTGATATATAAGTAATACTGAAACAGTTATTCATCAACATACTAACCCCTAAGGTTTAAGAAAACTCAATATAGCATAATAAGTAATAGGTTTTCCGAAAACTATAATATCCCACATCGGCAAGGTGGGGGTTGGTTTCTGGCCTTATATGTACATGTCCCTCTATTCCTAGCATAACACGTTTTGGGTAGTGAGGTTCTCTTGCCCATGAACAAATCCGTAAGGACGTGGCCCAAAACGGACAATATCGTGCTACGACAGAGTAGTGATGTGACAATTTGGTATCAGAACCAGACTCATCGTCCTTTCAGATGTGCCGACGAGGACGTTGGTCTCCCTAAGGGGGTGGATTGTAGTATCCCACATCGACGGGGTTGGGGTTGGTCCCTGGCCTTATATGTACATGCCCCTCTCTTCCTAGCATAACGCATTTTGGGTAATGAGGTTCTCTTGCCTATGAACAAATCTGTGAAGGTGTGGCGCAAAGCGGACAATATCGTGTTACGGCAGAATTGGAATGTGATAGTCAATCAGATGGATAGTTAGAATTGGTACGTATATTAGCAGGTGCTTGAAACAAGAAAAAATTAAAGCAATTAAGTTGTTGCTTTAGACATTTTACATTCCATCATTGCAATATCTCTATTATAATAAATATTGAACACCATTGGGGCTTCTCCTAAACTCTAAACTCTAGTTATCTTTTAAACTGAGCATTAGTACTGTACTATTTTTTAAACTGAACACTAATTATTTCTAGAATTGAACATTGACTATTTTTAGAACTTAACACATACTATTTCTTAAACTAAACACTGATACTATTACTATTTGTTGAATTGAACACTGACTATTTAAAAAAATTAAACAATGGCACTCTCTCTATTTCTTAAACTGAACATTGAAACTATTACTATTTTAAACTAAAGACTGATTATTTCTAAAATTGAACAAATGTACTATCACTATTTTTTAAACTAAAAACCAACTATTTTTTAAACTGAACAATACTACTACCAGCGCATATTTGTATTTACAAGTGGCAATTAAACTTAAAAACTAGGCAACTTTAAATAAATAAGACAAACACAAGTTTGATAATACTAAAATCAATAAATTAAACCTACAATTAGCATTTCTCTTACATAGTTATCACTTTGGACATTTCGACATTGAAAACCTCAACCATAATAACAAGAAGAAATTTCCATAATTGAGAAATACTAAGGAGATTCTCTTAAAAGTGGGACTCTCTATAGACTTTCCGTCCCCACTTCATGTTTTTGCACAATTCATGTATCAGCATTATAAAATATCGTACAAAAAACATGAGGTGCCGGAGAGTTTCATGAAAAGTACCACTTTAAAAGAGGCTTCTTAGCATTTCTTTCCATACTTTTATTAACACTTTGATTTTTCTTGAAATTGTGTGGTGCAAGTGCAAGTTGTTTGGACATAAATTTGAGTGGGGTCGTTTATGGATGACTTAATAGGACGTGCATAAACCTTAATGTAGTGTTTGAAATTTCTTCGATGTGATTAATATTTCTGTAAAAATATCCATATGATCAAATAAAGATATAGAAAGGGGGATGAAGTTATATCGGAGAAACTCTTAACTTTTGATTGTCGATATTTCTCACATTGGTTAAATATCGGATAAACTCTTTTTATTTAAATTTTTATCATTTCCATAAAAAAAAAAGCTGATAACAATATCGATACATCCATCGATATTCTCACATATTTGCACAAATTTGCGTATTGACATTTTACCTATGACAATATTTTGAACACTATCTTGAACTAACAATAACATGCAATAATTAGTTCCATGTCAAATAAATATTAATAAAAATTGGATAAAAACGCGCTTAGATATGTGGTGTAGGTCTCATTATATATATTCATGATAAATATCACACACCTGTGTGTGACAGCCCGTCCCGTATTATTCGTACCGTATGTGTGAAATGACGATTTTGCCCTTGTTGGTTATTTGTCATTTTGGGGTGTTGTTTAATTGTTTTTGGGGGGTTGACTCTACAGGACACACACACACACACACACCTATCCCTTTTCTTTCCCCTGTGATTCTCTCTCTCTCTCTCTCTCTCTCTCTCTCTCTCTCTCATTCTCACTTGTACGGATGGGACTCAAAACCCTTGCAAACGTGACGGGTCGAAGTGGAAAATGGTACCTTTGTGTTCGTGAGGACCATACGAGTTCAACCATACCAAATTCAGGTAAGGAATCCTTCGATTTTACGTCGAACCATGAACCTCCAATTTTGTCACTGTTCATGCACACATGAAATATTGGATTTTTAGAGAATTTGAAGCTTACAGGTAGCTTAGTGAGGTCCTCAGGAAGCTCGAAATGGTTCGTTAGGTGAAAGTGGACGTCGGGAAAGCTAGTTTGAAGTTGGCCGGTTTTTCTCGAATTTCTCCTGCGAGATCCCGTGATCTTTGAGGTTTCAAACAAGTATAACGTTGTTCTACTCATCTCCAGCTTTCCATTGGTGCAAATTTCATAGAAATTGGTGAAGAAATGAGTGAGAAATGAAGGTTTTAAAGATTTTTCAGGTTTTCGGTGATTGGCGACTCGCCGAAGACGAAGATGGAATATTCCGTCAGTTTGGACGGAATATGCTGACGCCGTCAGTCAATTTTAATGGAATCCGTTAGGGTTTAACGAAATATTCCTGACGGCGTTAACTGACGCCGTTAGTGTGATTGTCACGTGGCTGCTCATGGGGGGCGCGTAGGTCTGTGCACTCGTCGGCACATGGCGACGCGTGAGACCTCAGAAAATTATTTTAAAAATATAGGGATGTTCGTGAGGTTGAGTAGATCACGTTGGTATATTCAAACACCCATTTGAGCATTGTATGAGAAGTTATTACCTAGTTTTGGTTATGTGCTTTAAATTGATGTTTTTATAGTTGTTTCGCATATAGGTGAGACCTATCTTGAGGACGAGTGCAGTCACTTAAGGCTCGGGGGTTACGACCCTTCCACATACCAGTGAGGGGGGTTTTGGTTTTCTGTATATACCTATATACTTGTGGTTTTCCCCAAAAAATGAAATTGAATGTTTATATGTTTTAAAATGTCATGCATAGTGTTTGCCTATTTATTTATGCATTAGTAGTTGCATATATGTATGTTTGGTGTTGCGGACGCACATGTAAGTGCCAGGTAAGTTTATGGTTTATGGTTGTGAATTAGTGATTACGTGAGATGCATTGAGAGCTCATAAACCTGCACCCCGGTGTTAGTGCTCCCGTCCAGAGTAAGGCATAGTCCTTCACGTGATGTTCACCTCCCGCACGACACGCTCATCTTGGATCCAAGTTAGGTGTACAGTCCTGTCGTAAAAACCACTTTAGGTGGTTCCGAATTGTAGGTGACCTGCGATTATTCGCACAGTCTTCATGTGATCGTAGCACTTGAGCGTATTTATTTACACCCAGTCCTGTCATACAGACCACTTTAGGTGGTTCCGACTCATGTGCAGGTATAGTTGTTGAGATGTGGATTTGAGCTCTAGATTCAGCCGTACAGGTCACGTTAAGTGACTCCGGCTAACATATATTCTGCATTGATTGACATTACCTGAGTTACTTACATCATATGCTGAGTTAGTTGACATGGCTACATACATACATATTTGTGGACATGGCTACATACATACATATTTGTGAATGTTGCTGCTTTGAGCATGGTTGTGATATATTTATATATTCTATTTTTTGGGAAATTATACAGGTTTTACGAAGAGGAGTTATAATTTTTGAGAATGAAATGATTTTGAAAAGTTTTGTTTTGTTTTTGCCCACTCACACTTTCTGTTTTGCGCCCCTCCAGGTTCTAGTTTGGTGTGCTCTTTTGGTGGCTTACGAGGAATTCTCGGCATCCCTGACAGATTATCACCAGTGTAGTGTAATTAGTATTTGTTCTTTTGGACTGCACTTAGGCTTTCTGTGCTCTGAGTATTGTCTATCACTTTTAGTCTCACACTAGTGTGTTACTTTAACTAGCTTCTTTAGTAGTTTGGTTTTTATTTATTCTTACTTTTATTATTATTGCTTCTGCACTGTGCACATGGTTACGTCACCCTCACGTGACGGCCAGCGCCCTTGACTTCGGTCAAGGTGTGTCATGTGTGTTTAAAAAAAATTGGAATTAAATAGAGTTTTAATTGAATGAAAAAGAAAATAAAAAGGTAAAAAGTAGGAAATGGGGGAGAGAAAGTGGAACTGAAAAATTATGGTTATATGTGGAAGAAAAAACAGCAATTTTTTTTATTTTTTATTTTTTATTTTTTTGCAAATTTATATTATTGCTCATGATTTTATTTTATTTTATTTTTATTGAATGTAAATAAATAATCAAATTATTTTTTCATTCTCTTTTAATTAAAAAAAATTATTAATAGGTAATTTATGTTATGAAATAATGCAGTTTCAAATGTTTACCACATAGTTTTTTTTTTTCTTTTCCCTTTTTTTTAATGTAGGTTTGTACTTTTACATGACCATATAGAAAAGAAAAAAGTGAAGACAACTGCTGAATATTTGACTTTACAAAAAGGAGATTGATTTATTAAATATATAAAAGACTACGAAATGGAGTATCATGTGAAAGAGATAAGTGAATGTTGTAATTGTATTTTCTATAAGTGAGTGAGAGATGTGCAACTCGAAATTAGTATATAATATTAATCTTCAAGCTATGTAAGTAGAGTGTTTAGTATTTAAACAGTTACTCCACTATTATAAAATAAATAAAATTACATAAAAAAATATATCATTTTCTTAACTTGTATTATTACATATAAAGTACCACTCGAATAAGTTATTGAACATCATTCATTAGGAATGGGTTACTTAGGGTTTGGAAGATTCAGAGTATGAAGAGATTTTTCAGTGTGATTACTACATGGTATACCACTTGACACGTGTCATTATACAAATAGTAATATATGTTTATTAAAAAGTTAATAACTTAATAATATAATTTTTTAACACTTACATAAAAACAAACAAGTAACATACCACTGTTTCAATCATAATAAAAAATTTCTTCGAAGTATGACATTGACAGGCTCTTATTTTCTAGTCCAATCAGACCTTTATTTTCTTCCATGCTATAGCAGACATTGACGAAGTGCTCACTTTAGACATTTCGACATTGAAAACCTCACACATAAATTATAATAACATAGAAGATATTTCGATTTGCATATTTTCCGTCAATAGGTGACTTTGACAGTTTTGTTTTATTATCTCGAAATTGTGTGCAAGTCGTTTCGATATAAATTTGAGTGGAGCCGTGTATGGATGACTAAATGGTGTTGCAGAAATCTTGACCTACGCCAAACATGCATAATCAAATCCATCTTCCATGTCAAGTAAGTATCAATAAAAATAAAAGTGTGATATTCACACATTTCATTTTACTTTTTATATATTTTTTTAATTTTCGACCGTCGGATCAGATGAATTGAAGAAAATTAACAGACAGAAATTATTAAGGAGTGTGTAAGAAGTAAAATAGGATGTATGGATAGCACACCCCTAAAAATAAAACGTGTTTAGATATATAGTGTAGGTCACATTACATATATACAGATATATATATATATATATATAATTTGTCTAGGAGGTTTTTTTTTTTTTTTTTTTTAAGTGCATCAATATTTTTACATTAAAAGAGAGGGAATTCGACTAAGCCACACAATGGACAATCTATTTTGGTATTGAATTCGCCATCTATGAGATTCGAACCTAAGACCTCTCACTTTGAAGTGAAGAGAATATTATCTGCACTAAGGAAAATGAAATAGGCTTAGCTTCAAAATGAGTTAGCAATAATGTGGTTTAAATTCGTCTTTAATGAGAGTCGAACCTAAAACATTTTTTACAAATAAAGAGGAATACCACTTAATATATAAAAGACTACAAAACGAAGGAGTAGGTGAAAGAAATAAGTTAATGCAAAAATCACCTCTAAATAAGTAATCTACCAAGGTTGTAATTGTATTTTCCACCAGTGAGAGATGTCCCAGTAGAAATTAGTATATGATATTAATCCTTAAACTTTGTAAGTTGAGTATCCAGTATTTAAGCAGTTATTCTACGGTGATAGAGTAAGTAAATAAACACAAAAAATCTATTATTTCTTTACTTGTATTATTACAGATGGAGTATCGCTTGAATAAGTTATTCACCAGCATTCACTAGTAATGAGTTAGTTGGGTTTGGAAGATTCAAAGTATGACACTGACAGGCTTCAATTTTCTGGTCCAATGATACGTTTAATTTCTTCCATGCTATAGTAGACATTGACATTAGTGATCACTTTAGACATTTCGACATTGAAAACCTCACGCATAATAACAAAGAAGATATTTCGTTTTGCATAATTTTGTCGGCTGGTGACTTTGACAGTTTTATTTTTTTTCCTCGAAATTTTGTGCAAGTCGTTTTCGATAGACATTTTGACATTCAAAACCTCACGCATAATAACAAGGAAGATATTTCGTTTTAAATAATTTTGTCAGCAGGTGACTTGGACAGTTTTATTTTTTTTCCTCGAAATTATGTGCAAGTTGTTTTCGATATAAATTTGCGTGGGGGCGTTTGTGGATGATATATGTGGTGTACATCGCTTTACATACATACATATACATATACATATACATATATATATATATATATATGTAGGGGGCTTTTGAAAAAAGAGATTTTCATTTTTTACTTTTGCTAAAGATTATGTGTTCAAAAATGAAAATCTGAAAAAACGACGTGATTCGTTATCAAGTCAATTCAAAAATCTGTTAATTTTGTGTCGTGTCATGTTAGATTAATGGGTCGTGTCAGAAATTGACAGGCTTAGTACCTAGAAAAGAAGGAAGTCAAATCAGATTTGGTTGCCGAGTTAATTGCCACGGGCCAATCATGGAATCCGTAATATGCGTTGTGGGTGATAAACCCGACTGCACAGAGAGGAGATGAGGAGAAAAATAAGGGAGGTTGTAAAAACAGTCATGCCGGTGAGAGTGGAATTGTGAGAGTTACTGATAAGGGGATGGTGTAAAAATCAAGGAAGGCTAGGTAGAGAATGGTGGGTAGGAAGAAAGCAAGGGGGAGAAGGAAGATGGCCGAAGGGGATTAGTAGAGGCCAGATTTAAAAAAAAAAAATTTAAAATTTAAAATTTCTTAATTTTAATGTTTTTAGTTTTTAATATATACTTGGGCCATATTGACACGGGACTCTCAGTATAGGCGTCACGTTATCAGTTGATGGCTAATTTAACAGTAATTTTAACGAATATATGTAATTACGATTTCATGTACCATTCTGGAATGAAAAAACTTGTACCAAATGTTGAAAATCAAGAAATGTTAGGGTAATAAAATGAAATTAATCCTACTTTTTAATTTATGTAGTGGTTGCTTTTATCTTAAAATTTGACATATTTAAAAAAAAAAAAAAAAAAAAACCTTAAAAAATCACTGGAAAGTACAAGGTTTCTCCCGTTTTCTTTAACTTTAATAATAAAAACATCATCGGGTTGTAATTTTTAATTAACCATTTGGATGAAAAGTGAAAGATAAGAAAGACAGATAGAGGCTATGCAAATTAGTAAAACAGCTCACTATAATATCAAGCCCTGAATCGCTTAAGAAAAAGGTATACACAAAGACCATGGGTAGAGTTTCAATTTATTGTGATAAACTACGCTTGACAGCTTGCCTTATCTTGTATATTCAGCTAGCTTCATCACAAAACAGTTCTTTTGCTTCTGCCAATTCCACTGAAGCAGAAGCACTCCTCAAATGGAAAGCCAGCTTTCAAAACCAAACCCAAAACAACCTGACCTCATGGGTGAATGCAAATGAAGCCCCATGCAATACTTGGATTGGTGTTTCATGCAACTCAGCTGGAAGCATCAACGGATTAAACCTCACCAACTCTAGTATACAAGGTACTCTACTTGAATTTCCATTCATGTCCTTGCCCAATCTTGCATATGTTGACCTCAGCTTGAATGAACTTTTTGATCAAATCCCACCTGAGATCAGTTCCCTCACCAAACTCATCTATTTTGATATATCCTACAATCAAATGTCTGGAAAAATCCCACCCGAAATCGGTCTTTTAACAAATCTTCAGGTTCTTCACCTAAATGCAAATAAGTTCAACGGCTCAATTCCTCAAGAAATAGGGCAACTTAAATTTGTCTATGAGCTAGCTCTAAACTTAAACAATTTAGAGGGTTCAATTCCATCTTCTGTTGGTAATTTGAGCCAATTGACTTCTTTGCTTCTCTTCAGAAACCAACTTTCGGGTTCTATTCCTCCCGAGATAGGAAACCTTTCGAAATTGGTTGAACTTTACCTGTATGACAACTATTTATCGGGTCCAATCCCTCTGAGTGTTGGAAACTTGAAAAATCTAACCATCATGGTGTTATACAACAATACCCTTTCTGGTTCTATCCCAACTTCTTTTGGCAATTTGACAAACCTTGTATATCTCTCTGTCTACGGTAATAAACTTTCCGGCACCATTCCTGAAGAGATTGGAAACTTGAAATTTGTTGAGGAAGTACACCTGGCTGCTAACCGATTTTCTGGTTATTTACCTCGAGATATTTGTAGTGGTGGACTGCTACAAAGGTTTACTGCCGAAAACAACGAATTTACAGGGCCAATCCCGAAAAGCTTGAAAGGTTGCAAGAGCTTAGTCAGAGTCCGTCTTCAAGGGAACCAACTCAAAAGCAACATATCTGAAGACTTTGGTGTCTATCCGAATCTTCAGTTTGTAGATCTAAGCTACAACAACTTATATGGAGAAATCTCAGACATCTGGGGACAGTGTCCCAACTTAACAACCCTACGATTTGCAGGGAACAACCTTACTGGTAGCATACCATCTCAGATTGCCAATGCAACTAAAATTCAAGAACTCGATTTTTCTTCGAATTATCTCGTTGGTGTGGTTCCCAAGGATTTGGGGAGATTGACTTCTATGGTGAATCTAAAGTTGAATGGCAATCAACTTTTGGGTTCTATACCCTCAGAATTTGGAGCGTTCACTCAACTCGACTCTCTTGACATGTCCACCAACAAGTTGAATGGCTCAATTCCAAGCATTTTTGGCGAATTGATCAGTTTAAACTACTTGAATTTGAGCAACAACAATTTCAGTCAAGAAATTCCATTTCAGTTGGGAAAGTTATTTCACCTGTCACAGTTAGATTTAAGTCGTAACTCACTTGAGGGAAAGATACCATCAGAAATTAGCAATATGCAGAGCTTAGAGGGGCTGAATCTTTCCCACAATAATCTTTCTGGTCTCATTCCAACAACGTTTGATGGAATGCTTGGCTTGTCGTACATAGACGTATCCTACAATCACTTGCAAGGTCCCATCCCCAACAACAAAGCATTTCAAGATGGTCACAGCTTTGAAGGGAATGAAGGATTGTGTGGAAATGTTGTAGGTCTAGAATCCTGCAATAAGCACGTCTCAAAAAGAAAACTCGTGTTTGCAATCGTTTTCCCTATCTTGGGAGCAGTTTTACTTTCTCTCCTTGCAATTGTCTTCATCAAAACAAGAAGAAAGAAAGAACTGGGAACAGAAAAGAGTGATATCCATGATGAAATTTTTTCAATCTCTCATTTTGATGGAAAAAAATTGTATTGGGAGATCATAAGAGCAACCAATGGTTTTGACTCCATATTTTGCATTGGGAAGGGAGGATCTGGTAGTGTCTACAAGGCAAAGCTACCATCAGGCAGCATAGTTGCAGTGAAGAAACTCCATCAAAAACTTGACGGCGAGGAGACATTGCAAAAGGAGTTCCACAAAGAAATAAGTGCACTAATCAATATACGACATCGAAACATTGTGAAACTTTGTGGTTTTTGTTCGAATTCGCAGCACTCCTTTCTGGTTTATGAATACCTAGAAAAGGGTAGTCTGGCTTCAATCTTGAGCAAAGAAGACGAAGCAAAAGAATTGGATTGGAGTAGGAGGGTGAGAATTGTAAAAGGCGTAGCTCATGCACTGTCTTACCTGCATCATGATTGCGTGCCGCCAATTGTACACCGAGACTTATCAAGCAACAACATTTTGCTGGATTATGACTATGAGCCTTGTATTTCAGACTTCGGTACTGCTAAGCTTTTGAATCCAGACTCATCGAATTGGAGCTCACTTGCAGGCACATATGGATATGTAGCACCAGGTAAAGTAAAACAGTTAAAATATAAAATGTTGAAATGTGATGATATAAATTTAAATATATACTAATGGCTTGCTCTCCCTTAATTTTTATGCAGAGTTGGCCTACACAAGGAAGGTAACTGAGAAATGTGACGTTTATAGCTTCGGAGTGCTGGCATTGGAAGTGATCACGGGAAAAAGACTAGGTGATTTAATCTCGTCCTTTTCGTCTCCATCTATGTGTGAAAACAAATTGCTGAAGGACATATTGGACCAACGGCTCCCACCTCCTACACTTGAAGTTGAACATGAATTGACAACCATTGCAAGGGTAGCAATCACATGCAGGGATTCGCGACCGCAATCGAGGCCAACAATGCACATGGTTTCTCAGTCGTTATCATTCCAAACTGCAGCTTCCATTGGAGGACCAGACATCACACTTGAACAACTCATTAAGATTTAAATTGTGTTTGATATTGTTTGAGTTGGCATGAAATTCAGATCGTCTTGTTTAAATATATCATATATGTACTCTGTTATATTTGTAGTTAAATTGAGAATAAGAGAGGAGTGCTAGCTGGACTCGCTCAACAGTAAGTCCCACATGTATTACCACTTAAATGGTTAGACCAAAATATCCTATTTGGTATTTACTAGAAATTGGTGCACACGCATTGCATTGCTGTAGGGCTAAAAATTGCATGCAAGATTATGTTGAAAGATATAATAAAAATTATGTCATTTAATACTATTTATATTGAAAACGTTATGAAGATTTTTACATACAAAAGATTATACAGTCTACATACAGAAGATCATAGATTTTTTCTATCTACATGCTAAAAAGATTAGATGGAGATATACAAAAGATTATGAAATGTTGGGGCTATTTATATAACAAAAATATTAAGGAATATTGTTTCATTTACATTAATAAAATATGACAAAAGTTGTCCACTGGAACACCAAAAATTTCCCAGCAGTACTCTCATTGCCAAGAAAACAGCCTAGGCAAGGAAAAAAATTAATTACTAAAATACTTGCAATGAATTTTGACATCAACAGATTTATATTATATAAAAAATAGTGATAAAGTATGGTTACTTTGCGTTTGATTGGTGGAAACGAATTTGGTTTTCTATCAGTCGGTGAGGACCTTTTTTCAGCAATTTGATCGCTTTGTACCAACCTTCCTATCACAACAAATAGTTCATGCTTTCAAAAGAAAAAAGTTCGTGCAGTGTAAAATGTACAACTGGAATTCTGATCAAGTATGTTTGTGAGAAAGACATAATTTAAGTTAGAATACATGTAAGTTTTAATGATTTTGCAGAAGAGGTGTGATCAATAATCTTACTGAATAATGGAATAACAACTAAATTAGTTCCATAACATGAATCTAAAGACTGATCAGTAGCATAATTGACATTCTTATTTTTAAAACCAAATTATTAGGGCCCGTCCTGATCAAGTGTCAGCTAGGTGATCGTTGGGCCCCAAAAAATGGGGCACAAAAATTATTATAGTATTGTATTCATATATGATTCTATAAGCATATAAATTAAAAAGTTTGGTTAATTAATCAAGAATGTTAACTAGAGGTGCTAGTGGTGTTATTTTCTAGTAATAATGAGGTCCTGTGGTCGAACTGTTATCAGAGTCTTTTTATTTTCAATTTTTTTACTTTGTTAGATTGTTAATTTCTTTTATCTGATTATGATAACTAGAATTTGGTTGGTTCATCAAGGAGGTTAACTGGAGACGTTGGTTCCTTTGTTGCCAGTAATAACGAGTTCCCGTGTTCAAGCTAGTCCCTATGCCTTTTTCTTTCCAATTTTTTACTAATTTTTGTTTGATTGCTAATTTCTTTTACCTTTGATTAAAACTACTAAAATTTAGTTTATTCATCAAGAAGGTTAACTAACGGCGCAGGTTTTTGATATTCATTCCAATTCAACTTTAACCTTCAACAAAATAATATATGTATGTCTCCACCAATTTAATTTGGCAAGTATAGAGATTATTCAAAAAATAAGATCACTTTTAGACAGCTGCAAAAATTGGAACTTTCTCTACCAAATCTACAAGGCTTTTGCTCAGAAAATTGCATTGTCAAAGTCTCGTGCTAAGACACTTTAGATGTCAAGTATTGCTCGATTGAGTTTAGGATTTCTCGAGATGGATTACTCCTAAGTGATTCAAAACTTGAACACCACAACTAAGAGAGGCGGAGGAAGAAGACGAAGATGCAAAAGAAAAATAAGAAGCAGACAAGAAGAGAACGATGCAGATACACATCTATTATGTGGCTTGTTTATGTTTCACTGCTATGTGTTTTGCTTGCTTGAATTGCTGGTTTGCTTTTTCATTTTGTATGAAGGAAGGGAAAGAAAAAGTTACTCACACATAAAATAGTCTTAGGAAATAATTTGGAAATAATATTAAGGATGAATAATACAATTTATTTATACCTTATCTTAGAGGTGGAAAAGGACGATCACACGAACTAACAGAGAGACAAACGGGCTTGGTACCCGGCACACAACCATCCATCCCCACTCCCAACCCACCCTAAAATGTCCCAAGCCCGCCCGAAAGCGTTCCAAGCCCGCCGGGCTTTATACCTAGTCCCAATATCTACATCCCAAGCCCACCTTATTTCGAGCCTAGCCCGCCCGATCCTGTTCAAAGCCCGCCTTCTTCGGTTCCATCTCCTATTGGGTTTCAACCAAGCCCGCCGGTGTTCCTACCTCCCATTGTGTTCCCTCCGCCCACTACGCCACCGAGTCCAAGACGAGGCCAGACGGTGGCCCTGTTGTGCGTGGCTAAGTCATCTCTGACCGATCCCATCATCCAAGAGGCTATTCCGCTTCCATCCAACCCAATGGGTCATGCTTCATTTCTTGTTTAGTCCCAATACTTTTCCATATTGCATTTTAATTTATATAGAAAACTGATCCATTATCTTGAAGACATCTTAGGTTATGATGAGTGTCAATTTGTTTATTATTGATATCAAAATAAACTCGATCACAATGACAATGAAAATCCATTTTTTCTTTCTTTTTCATTTTCTTTTCAACTTTTTGATAAGAAAAGTACAAAATTTCAGTGTATGTAACCCTAATTTGAACAGGAATTTTGTAAGTACAATGTAAAGATAACTTCTTGTTCAATCATGAATACAAACTTCAATAATTTCTCATGTTATAAATTGTTTATATATATATATATTATGCAAACTTGGTTAGGTTCAAAGCCAATGGCTCAACTGATCATGACAAATGTGCTTTTGTTAGTGCCAAACAGCTGCAATCCACTTATTAATTAACATGGATTATTATCCTAAGATTTAGAAACATCTTTTAGTATTATGATAATGTTGTAATGTGGTTGATCTACTAGGATATGACTCCCTATGTTTGGAATTGTATACTCCTTTATCCATATCTACGGCCACCACTTAATAAAAAGAAAAACTTCAACTAATAAAATTTGACATGGTGAAACCAAAACAAGTAATTAAGATAAAGTCGGGTTTGCAGTATATTTAGAAATCGCATCTTATGAGTTCTTAACGTAAAGTTCAAAACTTTTCACAATAAAAATAATGTTTGGCATGCAAATTGTTTGACTTCAGTTGATTTAATGCATAATTCTATTAGTGACGCATTTTGTCAAATACTTAATGAGTCTATTGATATCTAACGAAACTAGGGCATAACTTGTCGATCCCTACCAACATTTGCCGATCAGACATTTTATCAAACCCTTGATGATCACCACCGGCCCTTGTACTCATTGAATATCTTTAGAGAACTTGTTAGACTAGGAAGTATCAAACTAAATTTAGTCAAGAACTAAACAAAAACTGATAAAAACCAGAAAAAATAAGAGGAAAAAAGAGAAACAGAAAGAAGCAACACGGCTGTCATGCAGCCGCCCACACCCAACCAATATATTTGGACGTTTCCCTCCATATTAGTAGCAGCCGACTCACTGGCAGAAGTCCACTACTCCGCTTCCCTCCCAAACACCGAAGCAAGGAAAACATCTCACGCAAAAACCCTGAACCCGCGCCTTCCTCCCAACCATTTCTCTTTCTCTAGGCGGTGCCGCCACCGTTTGACGCCCACTACAGCCACCGTAATGTCGGCCTCAATCTTCGAAGACGGCTTCTCCTCTGACCGGCTCTTCAACCAGGGCTACTCCTACACATACGATGACGTCATCTTCCTCCCTCACTACATCGACTTCCCCACCGACTCCGTCCATCTAGCCTCCAACCTCAGCCGCCGCATCCCTCTCTCGATTCCCTGCGTCTCGTCCCCGATGGACACCATCACCGAGTCCCACATGGCCATTTCGATGGCCGCACTCGGTGGCATAGGCATCATCCACTCCAACTTGACGTCGTCCGAGCAAGCCCACATGGTCCGGTCCGTCAAGTCCCGCCGGGTCCCGCTTCTTTCGAACCCCTTCTTCAAATCCCCAAGCGATCGAATCCAATCTGACGACGTTTTCGACGCTTCCAATCCCTACGTCCTGGTTACTGAGAGTGGCAGCCCCAATTCGAAGCTTTTGGGGTACGTGGCGGGCAAGGATTGGGTGAAATCGGGGGACAAGGAGGTGAAGATTTACGATTACATGGTGAACTGTACGGACTTCACGGTGCCGTGGAGTTACGATTTGGGGGCGATTGGGGAGTACATGGAGGAGAAAAAACGAGATTTGGTGGCGACTGTGAGGGAAAATGAGGTGGTGGATGTGGTGGCGAAGGAGGAGGTGGAGAGGATTAAAGGGTACCCCAAATTGGGGGGTTGGGACGGTGGGTCCCGACGGGACGTGGCTGGTTGGGGCGGCGATCGGGACGAGGGAGTCCGATAAGGAGAGGTTGGAGGAGTTGGTGAAGGCAGGGGTGGATGTAGTGGTCTTGGATAGCTCTCAGGGGAACTCGATTTATCAGATTGAGATGATAAAGTATGGAAGAAAATGTACTCGAAATTGGACGTAGTTGGCGGGAATGTGGTGACGGTGAGTCAGGCGCAGAATTTGATTCAGGCTGGTGTTGACGGGTTGAGGGTTGGAATGGGGTCTGGCTCAATTTGTACGACTCAAGAGGTCTGCGCTGTCGGACGCGGACAGGTATAAAGATGCCTTCTTTTTGTTAGTTGTTGCTTTTGTGATTGATGCTTCAGTTTGACATCCTCATTATTGGTGGTTAATTTAAGGATTTGTAGAATCTGGAGGTGTTGAAAGTTATGATATTTGTAGTGATTGGTTAAATTTCTTGAATTCTTTTTGGATGAAAAATATTGGATTAAGGATTTGTCGATCAATGACATTGTTCCTAACAATCGTTGTTTTGATGAGTGTTTTACTATTTAGTTATTAGATACTTAAGAACATAGGGCATAGAAAACAAAGGTTCGACTTTAGCTTCTGGCAGTGACAACCCTTTGATGGACTTAAACAGTGTAGTTTGTGGCGTGAAAAGATATATAATTACATTTTGGAACATTTTGAAGACTTTATTTGACGTTTTGTTCTACAGGTTGCTGAATGCTATACCATTTTATGACCAAAGTTGTTTTGGTTTTGGTGATATGTTTCAGGCAACTGCTGTTTACAAGGTTGCTTCTCTTGCTTCACAAAGTGGTGTGCCCGTGATTGCTGATGGTGAAATTTCCAATTCCGGACACATTGTCAAGGCTTTGGTCATTGGGGCTTCTACTGTCATGATGGGAAGTT